CCCCGCCCCCCACAATTAGTACAAAATAAGCAATCTAACATTTGGAAGAAAATCCAGAAGTCAGCAGAATGGCTGCTGCTGGTCAGCCTGGGGTGTGGCAGTAACTCTGCCTTGTTTTAAAAAACTAACTAAAAGCGTGCCCTCCCAGCTTTAGGTATGTGATTCACAGGTGTCAGATTGGTTTCCATCTTAGCTGACAGCTCCCACTACTGTTCTGCATTTAAATGAAAAGTTGGATTTATTAAGGCAGCCACTTAGAAAAAACAAAGTTACAAGGGAGAAGTGGCAGGCATGGGATCACTTTCCTTGGTTCTGCTGGTCCTCCACCTGCATCATTCGTTAAGTATCTTGATAGATTTACTCTTGAAAAACCAGTTCAATGCTTTGACTCAGCCCTCTGTACGTATCACTTCCACTGAGTAAAAACTGAAAATAAATCCTTTTTGTCTGTGACTAAAACTGTCAATAATCTTTAAAGTAAATGTATAGACTGCTCTGAGACATGGCCTTGAAGCAATGCAATGAAAGGCAAGGAATGGGCCTGAGTAGTGTTTCCTGTCCTGTTTACAGCCAGGGTTCTTTTCTGTTTTGCCTAAAAACAACGTGTTCTCGCAGAGTAGTTTCCAACACTGTGGATGCATGTTTAAAACAAACCAGAACGGCATTATCCAAGATGTGAAAAATGTAGATCAGGATCCATGAAGTCTCCCGTAAGCACATTTTTTTTCTCCCCATGCAAGCGTCCAATGCTGCAGTAATTCAGAGTTGTGTTCCAGAGGTACCTAATCAAGAACATCTGTTATGATGAAGTTTAAATGAAATATGATTTTCAGAAACAAGGAAACACCTTAACCTACTTCCTTTTCTATTTGTCAAAACAAGGTGTATGTTTCCCCACCTTTCCTAAACCTGTGATGCTCCCCGCCCCGTTTTCCTTGTGTTGCACCATCCAGTTTAAAAACTTACCTCGGCAGTGTCTGGCAGTTCCAACAGGGCAGAAAAAACCCCACAGCAAATGAGGATTCAGCTGACACGTCACTTCTGTCAGAACCATGCAAACAGCTCACAGGTGCCCTGAGTGTTGTACACCACTCCCAGACATCTGAGTAACTGGCACCAGTTAACTTACACCTTCATGGAAAGAGAAAGGGCATCCCACTACTAAATGAAACAAATCTTTTATTCATGAGCATTGTCATTTTAAATTCACAAACTATGAAAGGAAGGCAAATCAGAAGAGACTGCCAGAGCATCTTTTAAATTATAAAGATATAAATCTTCTGTCTGGACATTTCTAACTTAAGAAAGAAAAAGGTTGCATAGGCTTTCTACAGGTGTGCACAAAAACAAATCTGAAGTACATGGAGGTTTTTACATTATAGTTGAGAGTGTACATTGGCTACTTGAAAAGATTCACTTGCAAGTCCAAAACAGCTATTGGAACAACCTACAGAATAAGGCTTATGAATATTTTTTTTCAATCCTGTAAAATATGCTGAACACATAACTATCAGAAAAATAAAATAACAGTTGTGAATCTTGTTCTGGAATCTCTCAATGAGATCTTTTCAGAAAGGACTGGATTTATGTTTGCCTCTTACAAGTTACTTTGTGAAAGAAACAGTGGTAATGGCATCAGGGGATTCTCCTCAGCATCAGAACAGAACAAAACAAAACATTTATCAGCACACGTGGAATGTTCTCAGCATGCAGAAACAACCAACCATGCAGACAGAAAAAAATCTTCAATAAATTACAAGCATAAAATTATCCACATTTATCCTTAAAAGAAAGGCTACAGCATCTTTTTAGCCTTGACAGTCATACCATCAAAGCTGAAAGAGGTCTGCTCTCTCAGGAGCGCAGGCCTGCGTGCCTGACAGAGGTCTTCAGTGGCTACTTCTAGGGAGTATGGGGCTTGTTCTTTGGTGTGTGAAAGTCAAAGTTCTGGGAGGATATTCCACATGTTTAATTCTGCATTTTTGATTGTTCTTTGTGATGATACTACAAACTCTATGAATAGTTCTAGTCACACTTATCAGACCAACTGCTAGAACAAGAGTGGATCCATTATAAAATTAATTCTTGCAGGTGGTAAAATGCGAGTTTTCCTGACAATACTTAGTAGCAGTAGTTCAGTGACGACTACGACAGCATCATTTTGGTTTTGTTACAGAAAAACATCAACTATTCCTAAAAATAAGATTTTCTTTCCTTTAAAAAAAAAATGTGTCAGTTACAAAATCAAGCTCATACAGTCCACTTTTTTTAAAAAAATAGGATTTAAATCATTTATAACGTGAATCTTTCTAATGTGCAAAAAAAGTACATACAAGCAGGCAGAATGGCAGTTAGGAGGAAAAAGGAGACACCTTCATTAAACAGGGATCTCAGATGTAAATATCTAGTAAATATTATGTCCAAATAAACAACTAATGGCATGTTTCCTTGTGTACACACCTCTGTTTAGCCTTCTGAGTTGCTCAAGAAATTTTAACATCTACCAAAAAATTGTAAAACGCAGGACACACAAGAACTGATATAAGCAGCGGTTTGACCTAAATATATTTGTGTAATATCTGTAAAGCATAAGCTACTGCATTAAGAAAGCACACAAAAGGCACAAAATTAATCGGTGAAACATAAGGGTAGGCATCCATGCTACTGTATGTTAGAAATATAGTGGTTTCTTTACAGGGCCCTGTAAAAAGCAGTGCTGAGCAGACGTTAGTACATTTTACATGTGCCTTTTGTTGCCACTTTTCTCAAAAACATCTTCACTTTCAACACATACGTACTAAAAAGCAACGAAGCTTTAACACACTTCTAGAATCCACTTTCTTCGTGTTACAGTGGTTTCCCTTACAGAGCAACATCAAGCTTACTGGATTGTTGCCTTTTTTTCCTGTACAAAGCAAATTATATCCCATTTAATTTGTTTCATTAATAAAGTTTTGTCTCAGTGTAATAATTTACTAGATTGTCACCTTTACATTCATTCATCTGAGAAGGCTAGTTGGATCATCTCTATTCATCCAAATATTTCATCCAGAAGCTATCAACTGGGTCAAAACCAAAAGAAAAACACCGCTGTGCTTGGAGCCTTCACATGGAATGAAGGGCTCTGACCAGAGGAGCTCTGGCTCATTTCCCGCAGCAGCGTCCCCAGCCTGCCTCCTGGCTGGTGGGGAAGGCTGGCACCTGTCGGAGCGGCACACCGGGACATGACTCCTACCCAGCCTCACCCGCCTCAGCGCACAGCCCGGCACCTTAGCGTGAACGCATCGGCAATGGCTGCCAACCGGGGTGCCTCAGGCAGAGCCCAGCGGCGTGCTGTGCCTCTCGGACACGGGGCGGAGAGCTGAGGCAATGCAAGCTGGACCACCACAGCTCCATCTGCCTGAAGGGATTTGTGGAAAACGTAACCCAAAAGCACTGGCACGACAGTAGCCAGAGAACATGACACAGCAAGATCAAAATTACCGGAGCAGCTGCCTCACTGGTGACCACAGATCTGTTAAACAGCTGAAGTATGAACGAACAAAAAAGTGAAGACACAATGGGTTAGTGCGAACAACGTTCTTGAGAAGGTATTGCTACTTATATGATAGCAGAAAATTCACACTTGTGACAGGAAACTTGCTCTTAAAGCAGCATCCCGAAGAGCGAGCGCGCTGTTGGTGTATCATTCTTACGTCAAAGTGAGTTACTCAACGACTGTTCAGACAGAATGACTGCCATTAAGTGACACGTCACATTTTAAGTGCAAAACATTTTTGGCAAAAGTGAAAAATAGAAAAACCTTAACCAGTACTAATAAAAAAGTATTTTCTTAGACACTAGCATAGGGCCTGATCCTGCAAGCACACAACTCGGGGAACCCCAGCTGAGTCCAGCCGGAGTTCTGTGCCCTAACACCTAGAGGAAAAGGTCTTTAAACTGTTTGTGTTTATACTTGTTTACATGTAGTGTAAATAATACACACACAAACATACACACTGTGTGTATATATGTGTGTATAAATGGACGTGTGTGTGTGTGTTTGTGCATCCATACACACAAAATGGCTCCTGAACAAACTCGTGTTTGCATTTATTTTGAGATGCATCATTCACAGTATATAGCTTCTCGTTTGTATCTTCGGATAGTGGGACCTGTTCAATGACATCTTGAAGGTATATACTGTATCACCTTAATGCCTGTAAGGTAAAGTTACGAGGCAACTGCTCTATCTCATCAATGGGTCTTCCAGAGAGGATTCAAGTATAGCCAGCCATCACCCTGCAAGAAAATTAGGGAGAGTTTACTAAACAAGATTTATACTTACTGGATCTGTGTATGTCCACATAAAAGCTAAAATACTACCAATTAACATAAGAAACCATCCCTGTCATCTGAATATTTTTTGCTTAATGAATTTACAGGTAATCTCAGCAGGAGGGAAAAACAGCAAGGGGGAAGAGAAGAAATGGGAGGATGCAACAGATGAACTAACAGATTAAATAGCTGCACATACTTGCTAACTTAATAATAATTCCCTCAGTAAGTCTTATTTCCCTTCCTCCTTTCCTCTAAGAAAGGACAAATAATAACGTAGTAAAATCTGTTTCATTTCAAGCAGATGAAGCCCAAGCCTGTGTTTAATATGTCCATGCTTACTTATATTGGACAAATACCCCTAGATGATATTCATTTTAGATTAAGATTAGTAGGTGATGTGAGTACTCAGCATTTGTAAATTAAGGTGTAGATTTCAAGGTAAAAACCATACCTTTAGGCGCCTTACATTAGGTATGAAAAATTCAGGTTAAAATAAATCTAACTTAAGGAAAGCGAACAAGCATTACAAAATGGACATGGAGCAATCCATGGCTTTTCCTTAAGAGCCAAACTGGCAGAAATAAAATTCAAAAAAATAAATCAATCATTGTTACAGAACTACACTAGCTCATGGTAAAACCCCAGACAAGCACCCTCCCCCCGTTTGCAGGAAGATGCTACAGGGTCTTGAAGGAATGTACCTCTTTGGCAAAATATTTTGGTTTCCATGGCGTTGTAAGAGCCGCACGTTGCCTCTCCTCTGCTCGCTGTCTCTCTTCAAGGTGGTGCTTGTGTTCTGTGGCTGCATCGATATTACCTTCTTTCAGGGAGTTGGTGACGTGCTGCCAAAGGCGCCTGCGTGATGGAGAAGGAGCATAAGTGACAGAGCAAGAACACTTCTGCTGCAGCAGCTGCCTGGCTAGACAACAGCGCCGTGAGAGGCAGACCGCTGCCACGTTCTCCATGCCACAGCTTGGGAACCATCGCTCTCCTAGGATACTCATCTCATTTGGGGACCAGATTTTCATATTTGCTCAACTTCCAGTATTTTGCCAGGCAAGTTAACTTTCTCAGTAGTTCTTGTTCATGTTCCTGACTCTGCACAACCTGAACTTTTTTTCTCAAAGCAGATGGATTTTTTTAAATAATTTCCTGTTTGCATTCTTTACTGAGGATCCAACCCTGCGTTTATTTGCAGTTAAATTTTTTAATTATAAGGGAATGTTAGGCAAAAGCCAGGAGTACAGTAAATTGGGACACTGACCCCCCAGGTTACTGACAGAGAGCCCTTCTAGGTCTGTGCTCTATATTCCCAGTTAACAATAATTGCCAATATATAACTAAACTTGTTTTTCACACGACTGACTGCATTCAGATGCAATGCCTTCTCACACTGTATTAGCCTAGCAGCAACTCTGCCCAGAAAAATACTGAGAAGAAACCAACTGCAGCTTTCACATATTTCCAGGGGTGTTCAAACCAGTTTCTGTTTACAATCTGATACACTGCATGTCCTGCAGAACCACTGGATAGTTGTAATCCACTTACTAGTATCCAAAAAATACAACAAACACACTGCAGAGCTACTGGTTTCCTTATTTACTCCAACCTTTCTGATCCTAAACTACAGGGGGAAAATGAGTTTGTGATAAACAAGCACGCCTATAAAGTAGAAAAATGACATCTGACCCTGCACAATGACACATTTACAAAAAAGACAAGCTTAACTGATGTTTTTAAATCCTCCAAGAAAATGTTCCTAAATACAATAAAAATATAGATTTTTCTGAAGATAAGAATTAACAGTTATTGACAGCGAATAACAGAACAAGTTTTTTTTCTAATGTACCTAGGCAAAGCTAGGCATGTGATGTGGGTGCTGAGAGCCTTAAAAACATGTGTGTGGATTTATATCTCACATTCCATCCCATTTTATACATATCTATATAGTATAAAATATATAAAACATTAAGTTCCAGTGTAAATTAATAATAAGATGCAACATTACTTGCAACAAATTAATTTGACTATCATATTACAATCGCTCAAAAAAGTAGCTGAAAACACTGCATTACCATTTTCCAAATGCTCAATAAAACGCACAGAAGCATTTTCTGCCTCTACAAAACTGATGTCTACGTCACTATAATGGAATTCATGTTCCAAAGAACCAATACACAGCTTCAGTCATTTGTGATTAGATTAATGTGCTGCAGGAAGAGAACCAAGTGAACCACACCATTTATAACTGCAGTTTGCTTCCCTGTTCTGTTCCCATCGAGGTTCAGCGCAGAACACTGTAACACCTCTGCCCTTACCTTGATTCCAGTGGGCCTTGTTTTGCTATTGGCCTGATCTTTTTCCTGATAACAGGCAGTTTGTTAGTGTCAATCACTTTGGTTTCTCCGTTGCTATACGTAAATTCCAGCGTACCATTCCATTCTCCCTGTGCCTTGCATACAATGGTGTTGGTGGGATTGTGTTTCACTTCAGCTGTAACCCTAATTCACGAGAGAAGAAGAAAAGACCACAAAAATAACTGGAACCGTTTATTTTCAGTATATGAAAGCACTACCACATTTAAGGCTACAAGCAGCTTTCTGCATCTACAGGGTAATTTTTCAAGCAAAGTAGTGACACTGTCTCCAAAAAGAAAGACTCAACCCAAGAAAGCCCTGCTAACACAGCAAAAGCTTTTGGACAACATTGTCCCAAAGCACATCAGTAATCCAGCTTAAAACCCTGGCAGTCAGCTCTAACCCAGAACCGTTTACCTCATCAGCCTGACAAAAACCTCTGACACTCATGTGACATTTTCAGTACACATTATTTTCACACCTGAACATAATGCTGTCAGATCCCTATGTCAAAGACTTGAAGTACCTTTATTTTCTTCTTTAGCTCTGCAAGTTTACTTCTCAGCTACCTCAGCAGTCCAAGAACTGGTCTGAGAGTGAGCAACACAGATAAGTAGGACTGGAAAACCAAAATGCAGGGAGAAGTTTCATGTCTTGTCTCTCTCTACAAACATGCACACGTGTGCTTTAGCAATCCATGACAAGTAATCTGTAAACTCAATTATGTTTTTAAATTATTAAGCTCACTTTCCCTAATTTTCAGTCACCCTGATGGCAACAATTATTAACCTACACATTTTAGAAAAAACTGTCAAAAGAGCCCATGCTGGCAATTTGCCTGAACACAATATTGAAATGGTTGATGCACATATAGAAGAATAATTAAGACCAACTCAAACAAAACAGAGCAAAAGCACACCATCCCAACAGGCGACACAGCCTTGTCACAGCCACTGCTACAGACCACAGCAGAACAAGAAAGGGGTCTGTGTACATTAAAGATTGGGTCATCAACTTGAGCATGGAAGTAAGACAGGAAGCTATCTTGCACAGTGCCTCTTCAGACCGTTAATAAAGGGGAACCAGGGACACAAATAATATTTTAGTCATCTGGAACTTCAGTGCAGAAGTGGGAGCCCCCAGTAGGGAGCTACTGCTCTGGGCAGCAACACTTCTGCTTCTCTCCTCCTTACAGGAGCTCCAGCTGGAACACCAGTTCATCTGCAAGACTCACACAGAAGCAGTAGCTGGTGCAGCAGAAATATTGCCTCTTCTACATACATTTTTCTGATCCTGCACTTATAACAATTTTTACAAGCAACAAAGCCTGGAAGAATACATTCACTTTAGTTTAAAGAGAGAAATATAGCCAATTCAGTTAAACAACATAAAACGTGTAACTACAATAAACTGTGTGCTAAAGCTGTAAGTCATCTCAGACACTAATAGGAAAAGAGATTCAGATATCTGTCTATAAAATACTTCAACAGAAGACCAAAGATATGCCCAAGAGTCTTTCTATTGAAATCCAGTAGCAGGTAAGCAAGAATAAGACAGTAATTCCCATACCTGTGGACCTTCCCTCCGTAGAATGGCTTGGTGTGGAACGTGACTGTAGCAGAATAACCTGTTCTGGCACAATTGATGTTGACTTTCCCTCCAAGCTCCACCCATGGGATGGTAAGTATCGAGCGAGCATAGGCACTAGGCAGAGTGAAAACATACTCTTCTTCATGTTCCATCAAATAAAGAACACCTACGTAGGAAGAAGGTTGAAACTGAAATTATAAAAGTTCACTGATAAGACCCGACTGTCACTGACCAATTGCTGTCATCAAAACGTACATCCCCAGAGAGCACAAGGGGCAACTTGCCTTGAAGGAGAGAATTGTCTGATAAGGCAAAAAAGTCAGCCCTCTGGAACAAATGTCTTCAAACAAATGTTTTCAAAAGCACACAATTTGAATGTGTACCCTAGGGTCCTTCATGGTTCCAAACTATTACTTATTTTGTTTTACTGACAAGCAATAAACTGTTAAAGCTGGGGGGAAAAAAAGCACATTTGCTCACAGAAAGCCTTATTGACTATTCAGATGCTCCCTCAGTGTCCTATCATAATCTCTCTCCAGAAAAAATATGGACATGGACAAAGGACTCTTCAGTTGTCCATTCAATAAGACACGATCAGGTCCTCTCCGCTAATTTCTTACTGATGCATTTTTTTGGTGGGAGTGAAAGGCTCTCTCTAGGTCTGCCTGGGTGCAATCAGGAAATATGTTTAAGGAAGCCGTTGAGGAATTTCCTAGAAGTTTCCTCCTTCATTTCCAAATGCCTAGTTTCCCCTACAGCCTTTGCAAAAGTCCTCCCCAACGAAGGGCCACCAGGGCCACTGCTCCATTACCACTGAGACCAACGTCTCTACCATGCAGAGAAAATTACTGGCAATTCTGCTTCATTCTGTAAATGTTCCTCCACCCTCAGCATTATGGAGCTGTAACTAAAAACAACAACATGCAGCAGCAGTGATTTTTCAAGACTATTTGGAACTACAAAGAAATTTGTACGTCTGATCAGATCTTAGGTTCCCCTATGGTAATGATACAGCTCTACCACCACCATAGGTATAGTTTGGTCTTCAGGAGGACAAAGAACAGGACATAAGACCAAGTAAAGAACTCCTTAAACCTTGCACATAGAATTAGATCATGCCAAATATCTGTAGTATACTTTTTATTAGAGTTTTACACTCTTCTGTGTCCCATTTAATAACTGCCTAAAGGCAAAAATTACAGCTTTGAAAATAATTTTTCACAACAGGGACTGAAAATAACCCATAACAGGAAGCACGCACAACCCAGAAACATTTGGAAAGAAAAAAAAAAAAAATCAGGAAAATTATCTTGACATAGGAATAGTATCTGCTTAGATATCACCCTGGGGCAGATAGGGGAAGAACACATTGGTAGCAGTATTGATTAGTTTGTCTATCTGTTTAAAGGAATAACGACACTAATTTTGCAAAGTGATCTGACATATAATGATGAAAAAGCACTAAACAGGAACAAGGCATTACTACTGCCAGCATAAAAATACACCCTAATGCTGTATGAAAACAGAAACCTAAATAACATTCAGAATTTAATAGCACAGACCTCCAACAAAATCATAAATACTGACTCCAATTAACAGAACTAAATGCAGGCACAGGAAGCTCCACAACTTGTCACTTCTACCTTTTGAAACTTCCACAGAAAAACATCTTTTGCAAACCCCGATGGTTTTAAGCAGTTGTTCTCAGGACTTGTACAACCTCGGCATGCCAGCAATGACACAGCCAGCGCTTCCACTCGGGCAAGTTCGACACAAATGAGCTGGAGAGTGCAAAAGCACACAGAAAAGCAATGTCTTAAAAGGACCTGTAAATAGTTAATAAATTCAATTGGGTTTTTTTGGTTTTTCCCAAGTCGTGTCGGTTTTTTGCCAATGACCCTGCGTGGTGAGTGGAACCCGACCCGTCCCTGCCTCAGCCCACCAGGTGTTTACAAAGGACTGTCCTCTGGCCTTCTAAACTGACAGCAAGTCATAAGTTCCTCGTGTCATGGGCAGAATGAAGCCTCACCAGCAGGGAACAGCCAGGACACAGCTGGCACACACACACGTTTTGCCTCCAGCTTCCCTTGGCTCCATACCTGCAGGTAAAGCCACGCTGAACACCTTGCAGGAGGGCTGAGCTACCCAACTCACCCAGGACGTGCAGCCAGGAAGAACTTTTACTCAAAAAGATGCCTCTGCTTATCACACTCATTAATGGATGCTATAATAACATTAACTTAATAAAGAACCATCAAGAAGTCTTTTAACTAGATGATGATATCCAAAAAAGGACCAAAGAAAGCTAATGGGCACTGATCAAATGCAGAAAGGAGACCTGACCGTCTGCAGTTGGGTGTTTTCCACACAGAGAACTACAACAGGTTTTAGGCCTGTCAGCTTTCTTTTCTCCTCCTCTTCCCACTTATTCTCCACCTTCTTCATTACAGTCACAGGCAACAGACATGTAGCGGCAACCGGCTGCGGGAAATGAACAGTGGTGCTACCTGTGAGGTCACGTGTCCCCAGTCTTAATGCTCTAAGCACAGAGACAATCCTCACACATCCAAAAAGCACAGTCTGCCTGAAAGCATCAGCTCCCAACATGGCAGTTTTGGGGATTTTGTCATTGTGAGGTTTTATGGTTTGATTTTTAAAGGACAAAAGGTCTGATACCAATAAGATGGGCAGGTGCGGTGCTCACTACTGAGGGAAAACCTCATTGTATGTATGAACCCCACCTTCATGTGAGCTTCTCCAGAGCTGCTGACTTCCCTGGGCCCAGCCATCCTCCTCTGACCGTCACTGTGTGGCCCCACCTGAGAGGAAACTGCCATCATAAACACAATTTCCTACAGGGTTAGTATGGGTTTGCTTTTGTCTCTCTGATGGGATCGATAGCTTTTTTTCCTCTGTACTCGAGTGGCAGGGATGCAGAGCTCTGATGAACGCTGCCAAGCACACCGAGAAGTGAACAACAAATAACAGCAGTGACCTTCAATGTAAATATTTAACCACCACAGCAGGTTAGATATTAAGAAATGAACCCAGCTCTCTTGGCAGTATTTTTAGCACTTGGTAGCATATTTTCTGAATTCCTTAAACACCTGAATAAATACATTTTTAATGAAGTGCTATCTCACTTGAAATATGACTCCAACTCAATAATTACAATCTAAAAAAAGAATAAAGGGAAGATTTGAAATATCTACAACTTGATACTACTGTTAGTATTAATGCGACTGTTACTTTGCATTCTGCCACTTGCAGAGACCGCACGCAAAACCTCGTTTAACTGAAGCACCATGAAGACTGCAGCTGGACCACCACGTCTGAACCACGACCCATGCTCTCTTTGGGAAAAGGAAGCCCAAATGACATTAAGAGTCAACATTTGTAACTGCTACCACAACTTGAATTTATGCCCTACCCCACTGAGTTTAAATCTTGAGAAATTAAAGGCAGAAAACCTAAAATCTAACAGTGATTTTTAAAAGCGTTGTGTACTCTTAATATCTGCATATAAGTGTCATTACATTATGACTGATCTTTAAAAATATCTGCTGGAAAATACACAGGCTATTTTTCTTCCCTTGCTTCCCCACTGTAAGGGATTATTCATTTTTAGTTAAAAAATGGCTACAGTAAATATACATGAAAAGTTGCAAAAGATTCTCCCATTTTCAGTAATGTTTCCTCCTCTCACATCAAGGAATTATTCAGAAACTGCAAATTCCTTTGAAAAAAAAAATCTAAAGTATTTATAGGCAGCTATTATGCACGGAAGAATGCACCAGGTAAGTACTCTGGGAGGAACAGTGGATTTAGTAATCTAGTTTATTACAAAAAATCCTGCAGAGAAGGGTGAATTTTTCATAAGCAAGTGCAGAATTTTGAAATTCTCCCTTGAAATGTCCTCAATACCACTTACTCTTGCACAATCATGCTCCTTTCCATAACTCCTCAGCCTGCATTAAAGGAAGTGATGTCGAGGCAAATAATTTTCCCTTTTTGACCATTACATGTCCCTCACTAATTCTGCAGCTTTGTGAATTGATTTTCCAGTAACACACATTGACGAAATACCCACAGGAGGCTCTGGATCAATAAGCTGCAGAAGAGGCATGTGAAATCTAATGCTTCCCACCCATTGTATGGAGATCAATCTGAACAACAAATGGTATGTGGGACACAAACAGCCTAGAGGAGTTTCCAAATTTAACAGGCTCTTCACTCTGTCTGCATTACGCGTAACACGGCACAAACAGGAGTAAGTTACATACGGGCTGAATCCCACGGGTTCACACAGGAAAACACACAATACCAGAACTGGGCTCTTCTCATCCCATAAACATTCCAGGGAGCTGCGCTGCACTGCTGATTTTCCAAAGACTGGAGCCATTTACTAAATTGATGAGTACCATGCCCTATGGAAACTGTTCTGAAACCACTGGGCAAAACCAATATTAACACAAAAATTAGCACTAGGGAAATATTTTGGGAGCTCCGGTTGCGTGGAGCAGTCAATCTTTGGGACTGCTAAATTAAAAAGTCACTAATGCCTCAGGAACAGAAATTACAGACCGATACATCTGTAAACACATACTGGAACAGGGAAAAAAAAAAAATAAAAATCCCAAACAAACAACAAACCAAGAGAAAAAACATTCTTTGCTTTCATTTAGATTTACCGTGGAAAGAACACTGAACCTTTTCCCTATCAAACCTTTCCCAGGTTGATTTCAATTTAAAAAATAATTTTGGGAAGCCTATAGCTCACTAGTTTTTAAAACATTTAAAACAGCAGGAGTGAAAACACAAGGCATAACTAGCCACTGGATAATACAGAGCAATCCACTTAAATGTACTTTATGCTCTCAGCAGAATTAACCCATGAATCAAAGGTGACACTTTTTTTTGGATTTTGCTGCTTAGGAACAAAACCCAAGAGCAGAAACGGAACATGCACAGCCCATACTGAAGTGTGCTCACCACAGCCTTTTCCTCTAAAGCTTCCTTATCCTACAACCAGTATCGGTTTGAAGATTCTTTGGACCACATAAAAACCATTAAATATTTACATTGACTCTCCCATCCCTTGCTAATTTAAATCTTAATATTATTTTATTCATTACACCCTCTTCCTCTCCCTCACTCTCTCATTAGTACATAATTAACATTAACCAGAATTAGGGACTGCACAGGCAACGTTAATTCTTTTATGCAAAATACCCTCTCTCCTATTCAGGGTAGCTTTCTCATGAGGAAACTCAATGCTGACTACTCTGAAGAATGAGGTTTTGTTATATAGTGAAGAAAAAATTGAGACATTTCACTGTCAAGCAGATTCAGACCCCTCCTAACCACAGAAGAAGGGCTAGCATATAAAACAGCTTCTCACACAGATTGGCAGCAGTGCCTTCCTGCTTGTTCTGTGATATATACAACTGAATATTTACTTCAAATCAACAAACAAAAATCAGAGATAGAGGGGAAAAAAAAAAAATCTTAGTCACTCTGAGGTGCAACATACACTAAAAATTGTACAATTAAGACACTGAGTTGTACCCTTTGTAAGACAGGACCATACTGTCCTCAAATTCCCTAATTCTTTAAATTCTTATAGAAGCCTCTGTACTTCCATGGTATCCCATTTCAGCATATCCACTGCTGCTTCTAACAACTAAGCATGAAAAGCAACATGCTCTGTACATCTAAGGATGTGACAAGTTAAAAAAAATACGCTTCACAAGTGCCACAGAAACATTACCATCATATTCCTTACACAGTATAGGTCCAAAAATTCTGTACTACTTTATTTCTGTAAACAGAAAAAGCTTCACTGAATTGTTTGAAGGGCACCCACAAAACTATTCAGTAGAGAGCAGTTTCAAAACAAACCACACTTGTTTGTATTCAACACTAAGGTCATAACTAAGTTACAGGTTAAACAAAATTGTTCTGATAAATATCTGAACTAGAACAAGATGGTCCCTCCCTACCACTGAATGATCCAAAACATCAATTGCAGCTCTCTAATGCTCTCTTGGGAAGGATTTTTTTTTTCTACATACATCCAGCAATACTGAATGAATGCACAGTTTAGTGAAACTACTATAACACCAAGAGAATGATTTAAATGAAGTCTCAGAACAGACACATCATGAAGAATCCAAAACCCTTCCTGATCTAACAAAAAGTCAAAGGCACCCACAAGTACATAAGTAAACTTGAGCAACAGCCAGAAAAAGAAGCTGAATGCTCATAATGGAAAGAAAAAGGGGAGGAGGGGACAAGAAAAAAAAAAATCAACAATAAAATCTGACTGGTAAGGTCATCCAATGCATAGCTACAAAAAAAGAAACAAAACAAAACCCAGTGATTTCTATGATTTGAGAGATCATAAGAATTTAAGAGTTTGTCTCTTATCAGAAGCAGGATCAGCCATACTTCAGTCATTCCTGAGGAACTTGCTTAATCTGGTTCTAACAGTTTAAAATAATAAGACTCTAAACTCCTTCCAGCCAACCTTGGTGTGAGAAAGCCTCTCCTAGTAGCTAGCTTTGGTTTCTACCTATCTTAACTACCTCTTCATATACCTTCTGACTAATAGCAGGCCTTTCCTTAAGCTACTCTCCTAGACTAACTCACCCCAAGTGCATAAAATGTCTGTAAATACGAAGAAAATTCTCCAAATTATATTTCACATTAAAAATTATTAGGCTCTGCATTACCAGATGTGTAAATACAGACATAGTTTTTCCATATTGTAACTCCAGTGGCTACTTTTTTTTTGGTTTAGCAGTCTAATCCCCAGTACTCACGCTGACCTCAATCTAACGCAGAATTTATACTTACGCAGCACATGAGAAACAAATGTCTGCTGTAGATTCTAATTTTTGCACAGCATGACAAATCTACACACCAACTTAATTAGGAAGACTTCCCAGGGACTAAAATAAATTTTAAAAATTTAAAGAAAGTGTAGTCTCAAGTAAAGAAACGGCACTGCGAAGCAAACATTTTAAACGGAGGCTGTCAGGTTTAGGCTGGCTGTTTTCAGATGACAGAAAAGCTTCAGTGGAACAACTTCTTGCTGCCTATTGCCAGTCCTCAACATGCAACAGAAATTCCTGGGCTGCACTGGAGTCTCTCCATCACTTCCCAGAAATACTGTCACCATGAGGCTGCATGCTTCTGCACTGCTTACATGAACAAAAAAGACAGATGGTTAACTATAAATTGGTAAGCCCGAACTTCTTCCCAAAATGCCCATCACAAAGACAACAGCAAACCTTGCAATAAAAGAGTTCACCGTTGCAGATGTTCCCCAAAGCCTGCCTCCACTCCATACCTGGGGTATCTCCAGGATCACGGATAAAAAAAAGGGGGGGAGGAGGGTTGGGACTGGAGAACTTATCCTCACAAACACAAATTAAACAATCCTTGGGGCAGGGAAGTGGTTAATTCCTAGACCCTTTCTCTCTCAAAACTGGGACACATGAAGACTTTGAAGTTTTAAATAATCCCCACAGCAGACACCCCCAATCCCAAGGAACTGTGTGCGCTAGCAGCAAGAAAAAGAAATTTCCCTACTCCTGCATAATCATAAGTGACTTTGTGTTTAATTTTACTTCCATGAAATAGCTCCCTTCACTGAGAAAAACAGTACTAGAAACGCATATGTACCAGAAAAAAATGCAGCAAGTGAAACCAATGACCCAGGCTGGCAGAAGTACGGTCAGGAGACAAACAGAAGGACCAAGATTTCCCTTCTGACACTCCCTTCCTGACTCCCTTAACTCCATATTAAAAGCAAAGTAAGTCATAGGAAGAAGGAAACAGCAGTGCTGTTATAGGCTTTAACTTTCACAACAATATCAAATCCAGTAGTAAGGCTCTTCTACAAAAAAGGGAATACTATGCCATCAGGAAAGAAGCTACTGTAGCCCTTTCTACTGTTTGAGTTTGTTCTTTAGTTCTAGTTAGCAGAATTAGCAGAACATATCTATGTTTTCACCATAATTGTTTTGTTTTTATTAACAAGCAAAACCAAATCGCTACATTTCCCACAGTTCTTTTTTACTACCTTTAATATCATAGTATTTAACGTAATGATGACAAAAAGAAGCATTTAAGTTGTCCTGAGACTTCTGAGACTACAGTCTAGAAACTAGTTAAGACAAAACACTAAAAACCATACACAGGAAATTACCCTCAACTGACAAAAGAGACTGACTAAATCACTTAGAAACATTAAATCAATACATTAGCAGTCAGTAACAACACTGGTACAGGTGTGTTTATTAGTTCAGATAATCCATTAAGAATTTTTTATGATTCCTTGCATTTCTGAATTCACGCTGAGCAATGACTTACCACAAAGCAGACTGTATATGTATGGTATATCAACTCACACTTTATACATCACCAACATGACTTGCTATGAAGCTTGAGATAATACACTAACTTTGGAAACACTACAGAAACCATGACTCTTTGCAGAAACTATGAAAAGAAAAAAAGTTATGCTTCACTAAAAACATGTTTTTTTCCTATTGCTTTGTTCCAACTGTGAAACTGTCCCACACCGAATCACATATTACTTCAAAAGTGAGCAAGACAGATAAAAATGTTCTTACCAAATATGCTGTTAGTAGTCATTTGCTACTTCACCTTAAGATAAGACTGTGTTTCAGATATAATTAACAGTCTCACAAAAATATAAGCAAACATTTATATACGTTCTGTCTGGACAGAAAACAGTTAGATGAACCCTACAGTTTTAATCCCAAACTTCACAAAAGCAAATAGCCACAAGGTTGAAATGGAAGGTCAGAGGGAGAGCAAGCAGGAAAATATCTGGATTTCTGTTGTGTTGACAGCTACAACATTAGCTCAAAAAACCCAAAATAAAAGCACACTTCTTACCTTCACCTACCATAGAAACACCTATTGACATGCCCATAAACTTGCTTTTGGTCCATACATGAGCGTTCACACACATTTTCTTCTCTTTGCACTCACAGTAAAAGCAAGATACCGGTGGATGATGGGATACTTGTTCAGCTACAAACCTCAGTTTGTAGCACGCGGACTGGTCCTGGCCAAAATCCTTGGTTGGGTCCTTAGAAACTGCGGAGGCACCATTAGTTCTGAACGGTTTCACTTTATCTTTAGGCACATCCCAAGAGCAATGAAACACTTCACCAATTATAGGGTTATAGGGCTTCTTGGCAATCGCTCCCTTTCGGCCTTCATGAAAAGCTGTTAGATAATACTCCACAAAGCAGATAATTCTTTCCTCAGGAGTGGCTCCAGCTGCAATTGACAAAAACAGGTCTGGATGGGCCATGAAATTTGCATACATCTCCAGCAGGGATCGTTTCTCCAAAATAAATGTTGGAAGCACTACCTGTATGCAAAGCAGACAAAGGCAGATATGATTTCCCCATGATGATACCATCGCGGGGGATGCGGGGGAGAACAGTTAGGAACAGCTGTAATTCTGGCCCTGCCAAGTTTTGGGACAGCGTATTTTCCTCCCCTCTACCACAGCAATTTCATTTTCTTTGCAGTGTAAATAATGAGTGAAGGAAAAAGCAGCGGCCTCGATAGCCATGCAGGCTGCTTCCTATTTCATTCTGATTCTCAACAGCGGCTCATGCAACGGAGATGGGTTGTTCCGCTCACATGGAAATCTGCATTTTCCTCTCCTCTCAATTAACAAACCAACCATTGTTCTCCTTGTTTACAGGACATAAAATTGATGTAAATTGATTTACATCAAACATCAACAAACCCAATGGATCATAACGCTCCAAACAGGGAGGGGCACACCCTCCCAAACCACTAGAAGATGAGTATTTTGTATATAAACATACACATCACCAACCTGTAAGTGGTGGAGAGCATAAGGGGTACATCTACCCATTCCAATTTCACTCTGGAGCCCTTGACGACCCACTGTATATGTATTAGGTCCCTTCCAGCCTCTACCAAAGCAAGCCAACTAGATCCAACCAAAACCAAATCTTGGGTGTGTTTCTAAGGATAAAATCATGCCAAGGGCTCCTCCCAAGAAGCAGGAAACCACTCCAGCTTTAACTTCCTCTGCCCTGCACTGTCACAGTATGTGTCACATCACCTCCCAAGTCAAATCCCTCGCTGCCCCTATGCTCTCCTTGTCACCCCCAGGCACACAGCATGTCTCCTCAGTTTGAGACCACACCATACTACTGTGGTGAGCCACTGCAGGCCTTCACCTTATTTCAGACAAGTTGAAATAAACAAAAAACTGCACAAAAGTTACATTAATGTCCTGAGACTAGAGAAGCTCCAGGGGGCCCAGAAAAAATCCAGGACTTGGCACCAGGCAGCCTGCACTGGAAGGAGCCAGCCCTGAGGGATTTGGATGCAGTCTCAAGTGGCTCACCTGGCAACACAGACATTGTTCCCACTTAGGAATAACACTTCATTAGAAGTTTTAAATTAAACATCCTGGAGCACATGCAAGGCAGACAAGGGCTACAGGGACTAAAATAATTCATTTCTTTCCCTTCCTTCTCCCCCACCCTCCACACCTTGTGCAGGACCATCCCACGGGAGCTCAGAGGTTACTCCTGTGTGACCAACAAGGAACTTCTGGCACACACAGATTTGTCGAGAATCAAAGTGGCTCAGTGGTGCCAGATGCAGACCAACATCTGTCACCTATTAAAGCAATTCTTCTGTTTTCCTCTTTAATTCTTCACTGCATTTACTTTTTCCCTTTCCCAAAAGCAAGGGTTATTTACAGCAGGCAGTAAGCCACCCTTCAATCATAAACATATTTGCTTTCCCCCCCGCCACACCAGCTTGCTATTCTAAGTGGGACCAAAGCACAGTTCAGTCCTTTTGGATCCCATGCATAATGAAATAGAAGCTGTCAAACTTTTATTCATCATTTATCTCTTTTCAAAAGCTTGTAAACATGAAAAGAAATTCCAGTCACCAAGGCTCAAAGAGTCTTAACAGCTCCACAGTAAGTCAGCATAACACCACTGCAAAAAAAACAGAACACTGCTCTGTTTGGAAACACACATGCTCATTCACTCTCTTCTTTTGTATATTATTTACATACCTATAGTCTTTTATAAGCTAATAATTTTTACAAGTTTAGAAATTAAACCAAGCAAAGTTCCATCTGTTATATTCCTCTGACTCTACTCTGTAAGCCTCGAGGACTCTACATGGTCTCTGTTACCAACCTCATGAGACCCCAAATGATGCAGGACCTTAATTTTACATTATGTGTGGAAACTACTGAGTGCTAAAGACAGCCTACAGTCCCCCCAGTGCTGCGATAGCAAGGGGCTGAGGAGATTGGTTTTCAAAAGTGAAATCTAAAACTTTGGAAAGCAAAGTGGAAAGGCAGTAGATTTTCTTAGGGTATTTTTAGCTCTTTAAACAATTCTGTCTTACTGGTAGCATTTGCATTCTGACCAAATACTCATTACCTGATATAATCTTTAAAAAATGCAATTCAGCATTAATGGCCCTCGATACAGGATCTCATTTTAATACAAATCGTACACTCAAAGATCAGGATATCAAAGAGGAAACTGACAGCAAAACAGAAAAAACCCCCTCACTTCTGTCTAGAAATACTAGCAGTGACTATTACGAGTTCACTGCACAGACTTGAAAGGGCAGAGAAACTAATTTGAATAAACAGCACTCTGCATCTCGTTATGTCCAAGTGCTTCTCTCTCTAAAAAGAGTGACCTTTATTAGCATGAAGGGAGAAGAAACCTACAGATCATAGTTAAGATGAGGCAAGTTTTATGGCACAACATTAAGACTGCTGTGGTTTCACCCTGTTGAGTTGATCACATAGTCCTCATATCTACTCTTTCAAATACTAGCTGTGTGCTTTGCAGCTACATACTTAACACAGCTACACCAACACAGCCAATAAATGAGATGTTACGAATCACTGGACTCTTATTATTCAGTTTCAAGAACAAATTAAAAATCTGAACAAAGCTCAAATGATCTTGCTTTAAAAGCCCAACTAAAATGGAAACCACATCCTTAACTGTAGCAGGAAAGGATCCACTGTAAAACACAGAATAATTGAATTGTTTCCACCAAAGAAGGCAGAACTACATATGAGAAATATCCGAGTTTTAAAGCTCACACAGCTCCAGTATTACAAAACATTGCCTTTTACTAAATAATCTCCTAGCTTCCAAATTTCAATACGTGACACCATCACACACTAACATAGTCCAAAAAAAGAAAAAAATCACACCAGTCAGTATTTTTTCTTAATTGGCCCTATCTTGGTTTTTGAAGAAATAAGCGAAATAGAAATAAACAAATTTGGAAGCGAATGGCATGTTTCTTGCCAGTGTTGGCCTGTCACGCACTTGTGCTAGTACTCCAGCTTCCAAAGGCATGAGGCTTTCAGCTCTTCTGCAGCCAAACATTATGCACTGTCCAGAAAAATACACTTAGGACCTACATTCATTATATTGGTTTTGGACTACAAGATTTTTTTTTTTTTTTGTAATTGCATAAAAAGTGAAAAATGACTAATTTTTTCCTCTGAGAAAAAGCCAGCATGACAACCAAATGGACAAAAGAATGTCTCTAGAATAAATATCAAGTTGCTGAAGTCTGAAGCAAAAAATCTCCTGACTGCATTCTAAAATGTTCAAATAATTTCTGTTCTTATTCTTTCTCAGGCTTCATGTGAAAAGGAAGCAGTTTAACAGGCATTCTTCCATTTTCATTGAGGTTAAAAACAGGATATTGGTTCAAAGCTTGATCATAATCTCCTGGGTTTGAATTCACCTACACTTAATTAGATCTGGATGCAACTGAGAAAAGTAAGAGGATGACTTCTTAAGAACAGAGATATTTATCCCCGCTACTATTTACTGCAAGGCAAACCATGGGTGTCAGTACCGTTGTTCCCTACTCTTTTCAGAAATCTGACCAAGGTACCCCATGCTGAGGAGTCCTTCTCTTATTCTCTTAGAAGTACAAAATTTTTCCACTGTCATCTGTGTCGCTGTGGGAATTAAACAAGTTATTTTCATCCCACTTATATTTTAAAATTACAAGGTAAAAGCATATTGACAAGCAAATTAAAAACTTATGACATCGTGAACATACTGCAATGTTAATTTACAACAGGTTGATATTCTGCAAAATTACTGGCAGCCCTTTTTAAACAGAATGGCAGCCCTTTATTTTTAGCACATATTAACAAAAAAATAGGGAAAGTGAGGGAATGCGGGGGGGCGATCACCCATCTGTACAAACTGTTAGCACTAACTGCAACCCATTAGATGCCATTTGCCAAAAACTTTATCAGGCTGTCAGTGGTTTTTGGCGCTATTTTTCATTTTTTTAAAAGTCCAGACAATTTAAAAACTTATTTTTTCCCCAGCAATTCCAATTTTAAATGAGGTTTAAAGTCTTACCTCAGCCCCAGGCACCAGTTTTGTACTATTTCTGCTGCTGTGAACTGTTCCCCCCACCCGACTCTCTATTAAAGTCTATTCTGCAACCACAGAGCCCAGCCTGTTTGAGCAAATCCCCATGCAGGTTTAATACTTCATTGCAGGTGTTTTCCTTCACAGTAGATTTTTACCCTTTAACTCCTCATTAAAAGGCATGGCAGCATGACACATTTTAAAAGTGAAGCACCTCTGCAACATTAAATGTGCTATCATCACAGTGGGAAATTCATGTCAGCACAGGCAAGGCCAAGGCTAACATAAGCAAGCACCCCCTAGGAAAAGACGCTGTTTCCTCTGATACGGTACATGAAGGTAATGATTATACACCCACAACCAAAAGCCACCGAGGAGCTCAGAAGAACTGTTCATGTGTGTATCACGTTACAATCCATAGCTCACAAAATGAACCAAGGAAACAGCCCTAGGGAAGAAGGCACAGGAAAATGGAAACTTATAAAACATCCTCTAATATTAGGAACTACTGTGCCACAACCACCTGCAGTAGAAGCTAACTAGCATCAAGGCTATCTGAAATCTGACCTTCAGAGGAATAACGAAAAATGAGAAGAGGGGCAGCCAACAAACCAAGCTTTATTGTCACACATCTGTGGCCTATGGGCCTCATGTCAGGAAGCAGCGTTAATAAAAAACAAAGCAGCCAGCTGTCTTGCAATTTATATTTTTTTAATCCTCAAAATGATCAGAAAAGTGATGTGCACATGTGGCATGTCTCATTAAAACTCATCACATGTGTATTCATGCATCACATGGACTAGAGAGAGATCTAACTCTGCCATATGCCTGTTCCTCTTCAGATTGAGGGTATTATATACCCACATGTATTCATGCATGCTCTTATTTTGACACACTATAGATCTGACAATATTCATCACTACTCTCTAGAGCATCAGTACTGTGCTCTAAGAACACTATGTGAGAAATAGGTTATCATATATGTTTACCTTCCTACTTTTCTTATAAGTATCTACACTTCTCTTATTTACAGGAATTTCTCTTATTTACATTAACTGTGTGTTTTGGGAGTTTTTGCCTCCTCTGCCATGACAAACAGATAACACTGGAAGTCAGGGAAGAAAAATCTTGTTCATTACCAAAGACAAAATGTTTTGAAGACACAAGAACAGCAAATAAGGAATCTTAGTCTAGTTTAAACATTATGGACCCAGACAGCCTTAGCAAACCAACAAAGAAAAGAGGAAGAGCTATGACAAATTGAGGAATTTAAGAACAACAAAACCAAAAATTAACTGTACATAACCACAGACATACTAAGCGACAGGTATAAATTATTCACAAATGAAATGATTAAACTTTTGTTCTATTTAGAGCAAAACATTAATTTCCATGCAGCTATTCAACAGCTATACTTAGCAACAGATCACAGGATTGTTCAGTCTTAAAAAATGAAAGTATTTTTAAATACTATCAATTGTTCCAGAGGAAGCAGAAAAGACTATATTGAGAAAATCTTATTTTGTAAGAAAATGAGAGTAAAAATAGGTTTTGACTAGTATGTACGATCAAAAGAAAAGAGATGAACTCTTCAGAATATCAAAATATCCATGACAAGAATCTCCTGCATAACTACTTCATGCACAAGTATAATTCTCTGGTCATTCCAAAATTTTTTTTATTTGTGGAGGGAGCAAGACAGAACGAGTTTTTCTTATATGTGGGAAAGTGGGTTATAGAGGGTTTTATTTGGGGTTTTTTTTTTTTTTCCTTTCAAGTAGAAAACCTTTGTGAAAGGAAAAAAACTTTACAAAAATCTACTCGATTATTAAGTCCCATGAGAAGGTTCCACTGGAATGTAGGACTATTCAAAAAGAGGCATGCCCTGCTTCCAGAACATCTACCTCATTTCAAAAACTCTAAGGACTTATGGGAAATTTCTCAGACACCATAACTTCTCTGATCATATCAGTATGGGTAAGTTCATAAGAACACTGGTTCCAGGACCAGAAAGATGCCCAGAAGGTTAAACCGGTGAGCTGCTTAGCACAGACAAGAACAGTGATAAATTGAAGAATGTAATGTATTTACCATGATGGGGTTTTTTTAAGCTCCCAAGTAACTAAATGGAATCCAATCCACAAAGCAGTAACTTGTGCACATACCTCCTTCATCCATAAAATTGACAGTATGGTTCCTCAAACACTCAGTGCACCCTGACTTAACATATACGTATAATACACACACAACATATGGTTGCTTTGAAAGACTTACAAAAAAAATAAGGAAGAGTTTGGGGGGGGGGTTTCTTCTTTTTTTCTTTCCCTTCCCCCTACCCCGCCCCTCCATCCCTAAAATATCTGATGTGGTCACTTCATGTGAAAGCCTGCCTAGGAGGAGACAGCACTCCATAGCTCTCCAGAACCACACTTTTATGAAGAGGCAAACGTCATTGCTCATGGGGGCAAAACATGCTCACAGGAATCACAAGCGTGCACGTGCACACACACACAGAAGGATGAGAAGAAACAAGAAGAACGAACAACTATAAAAGAGATACAGTGTCCGTACCCTGGTAAGGTCCATGCCAAGTTTGAGCTGAGAGATGAGATGGAGAATTACACTACGTTGATCATCCATGACTCCTAAATCCTCCTCTTCATTATCTTCAGTATCTGTCATTTCATCTTCAACTAGGATCAACTCAGAAGCTGAATGCTGAAATGAAAAGAAACATCACCATCTGGACAAAAAGATACAGTATGTATTTTTCCACTATATATGTTTAAAAATGGAGCTGTCTCAATGGAACCAAAGACAGACTCTGTTAAAACCAAGAAAAGATATAAATTTAAAATAAAAAAATCCAGTGATGGGTTCATAGAATGTTTTGATCCCACCCTCAGAACAAGAGTGGTAAGGATCAGATGCTAACTTACACATTATCTTCTCATATTTGCATTGCAGTGATGCCAGACAAAAATCACAGCATGTGAAGTAACAGATCTTCTATTTATTAAATACAAGTACACAGATGAAAATGAGTCTTCCAAGAGTTTGTTTCACAAATCTCTCCAGCAAATATTCATACTTCACACCTAGATGTCTCATGACCTGATTTTACAGTGTTTTTCTCCTTTCCTCTATCCACCTTCCAAGTTCTATAGTTAAGAAAGTCAAGACTATTAACTGAAGGAGATAAAAAATGACTATAATTAAAGTACACAACTTTAAAAAAAATACATTAGATTTAGGGGGGGGGTAAGGCAATGCATCAAGTCTTTACAACATTTGCAACATTACGCTCCTCCACAGCACAATAATGCCAATGCTGCCCAGTTTCCAGATACACTAGCTGAAGATCAAGAGAGAGACATCAAGCCATCTCTTTTCAAGAGGAACTTTACAGCAGAAAGGGATAATGATTTGTGATACTTTATTTCTCCTCAGGGTTTACAATTATTACTACCAATAATCCAGACAGTTGGCATTTATTTTGTTCAGTCCATTGAAACCAGTCTGCAAGCCTTCCAGATATATAGTCAGGTAATTTTTTTGCAAAAAAAAAAAATCTTGGGTTATACAGCTGGAAAATTTATGGCCCAGGATTTCATTATTCTCCAAGGTTTCCATGCTGTGAATGGGACAAAACAACCTGCAAAAGTTAGCATTCCTTCGTGATAAATAGCTTTTTTTGCAGAAACAACTAGTTCGCTACATAAAATGAGACATTTTTCATCTCACTGGGAAAGCCTTTGCGACTGAAAAGTGTCATTAAAATCGGCTGATATTCAGAATTAGGTGTCAAAGAAATATTCAGAATGAACACATTAGAGACCCCTCAGGTGAAAGTAGCTTGTGTAAGGAGAGGGTCTCTGAAATGTAGTTACTACAGATGTTTTATTTTTTTCTTTTTCATTAAGTAAATGTTTAGCTAGCTGTTCTCAAAAGAATAGCATTTGGTGAAATCCAAGGACATTTGGAAGACACTTTACAATTACTTTATTTAGAAAGTAGAATATGTAGATTACATAAATCAGAATCTGGTTAAAAGCTTGGAGCTTTTCAAAAGGACAAAACCACATTTTCTTCTTCCCACTCCCTCAAAAAATAAAAGGATAGAATGATAAGCCCTTTCCTCCCAAAATGCACAGCATTATTATCCAACTGACACCTTACTGATGAGTTCAATTCACATAAAACCCGACAACCTCAAACAAAATTATCAGTCTGGGAGACATAAAGCACTGAAGCCTGTCTCAGTTGTACAAGCTACAGTTCATTTCGAGGGAGTGTGGAAAAAGCAGTATCAGAACTTACAGTAGATGCTTCCACAGGAGGTTTCCCTTTGATCCAGCTTGACCTCATTGAGAGCACCGAGCCACCGAATAAGCACTGCTGCTTCTGTCACTGCCATGAACCGAGCTTGCGGCAAACAAGCTCCAAGCGCCAGAAAAAAACCAAGGGAACCTCCCCTCCTCACTCCCACCCCCGCCTTTTTTCTTTTTTTTTTTTCTTTATTTGGCTATCGGACGAGGGATGTCAATCTGCTCCTTGCGTTTCTAGTCACATGGCATGGAGATCAGTGAGCTTAACCGCACACAGCTCCAGCTGGGGAATGGTGCTGCTGCTTCCCAAAGGATATCCTGGTGGGCTGCTCTCCACATGGGGGGCCGGGGGAGAGGGCGGGAGTGTGCGCGAGCGTGCAGGAGCTTGAGAGAGAGCACACGCTAGCAAGTGACAAGCTTCAAGTGAACATGTAAGAGCTGTGCAACCTTTAGTTGTTAACAGCATCAGAAAATAAACAAATTGCACATCGACAAGTTCACAGACTAAGTCATACACTAAGGATCTTCTTTTTCTCCTGCAGATTGCCCACTCAACCAGGGACGGAAATGCTTCTTTCTGTCTTTCCTGCTAAAATAGGTGTTAGCTTTTCCATGCCTTCTGAAGTGCTACTAACAAAATAGCAACTGCCTCTCACTGCTATTCTGCAAAAGGTGCACGGTGAGGGCAAGCAAGCCTATAAACAGTTTAGGTGGTGCTCAGGAAAGTAGTGTTTGCATTCTTTTAAATGAAAGACTTCCTGCTCATTGGGGAGGATATGTACAATGTAACATTAGGATCCAGCCTGTTTAATGTTCATTCTGCCACAAGGACTATACTTCCAATTATTTCAACTATCCCCCCTATTTTAAGAATATGTACTAGACTTATCAACATACTAATGACCTTCAGTGCACGTAGAATGACATCAGTTGTCTGCACCTTTTCTCACTTTCCAAGAAAATAAGAACTTAAGTAGCAGTTTACAATTTATGTCACAGGAAACGAGCAGCAGTCACCTTCAGTAAACTATATCCTTTCTGTATTTTCCTCTGTTCTCATTAGCTGTCCTAGGTCATCACTGAATTAAGAACATAGAAAATAGACATTTATTTTTTAAGTCATGCATATTTTATTTAAAAAAAACAACCATGTAAGGACAACATAGGGTGTGTGGACATAACAGCCACAAAAAAAGCTACTGTATCCTTAAAGTGTCATAAAAGTCCAATCAGGTTTATAATTCTTTTTCTTTCCACAGAAATAGTACGCAGTTTAGTAGTAACTGATGCGTAAGCATACAGTAGCATGCAAAAGATTGAGTGCTTATCCTTTAATGGCAGCTTTTCTGAATTACCAGATACAGACATGTATTTTTATTTTTTCCCCCCTGTAAAATATAATTGCTAAGCTGAACTAGGAAAAGCAGTGATGTGCTCCATTCCTGTGTGGTCAGAGCATAATGTAAAAGCTATTGAGCTGTGTGTATCTCAGCCTGGGAATGAATGGCACAGCTAGGCTTGGGTGCAAACCCTGGGAATCAACTAGTAAACCAGTCACAAACAAGTACCAAAAAGGGGTTTACATTTAAAATCATTTTACTCAAAATGAATTTCCAACACTGGCCTGAAGCACTAGGATTTTTCAGAAAAAAATGTGAACACAAAATAACAGATCATTTCTAGAAATCCCATGAAAGGATTCACTTCAAAGTTTAAAGGGCTGAAGACATGAAAACACACGCTGGCAGAGATCTATTTAAACAGATCACTTCATTCAAACTGGGATCGGTTAATTTAGGGAGGTCATCTGCTGGGATACAAAATGGATGTTCTTGTCAGCAGTCTTCATTAGAACATGCTGATTCTGTTTTAACAGACGAAACCTGTAAGGTAAAGAAGTTGTTTCTGCATGAAACATTCTGCATTTTTAAAAAATGTCTTCAGGAAAAGGACACTTCTACAAGCTTGGGATAGAATCGCAGAGTTAAAAGCTAGGTTTCTGTCAAAGGGAAAACCTGCCTCTGTTCTTCCAAAGCTTCTTCCACAAGTTAATTTTTCAAATTAACTGCTGTGCTGCAAATTAATTTTTAGGTTAATTAGTTCAGTTATAAGGCTCAGAGATCAGTTTTCCAACATACTTCACAAACCATATCACACAACAGCACTGTCAAGCATGATGGTTGTCATCTTGTTCATTTGTTGTGGGGGAGAGAAAGGAATATACAGAATCACAGCAACATTTAGGCTGGAATGGACCTCTTGTGCTGCACCCTGCTCAAGCACGGACACCTAGAACCAGTTGCTGAGGACTGAGTCCAGCTGGGCTTTCAGTATCTCCAAGAATAGAGACTTTACAACCCTCTGAGCAACCTGTGCAAGTGTTCGGCTATCTTCACAGCAAAAGAAGTGTTTGTTGATGTTCAGATTGACTTTCATGTGCCCATTGCCTCTTGTCCTGTCACTGGGCACTACTGAGAAGCCTCTGGCTCCCTGTTTTTCGCTCCCTCCCATATATACATTGATAAGATTCCCCTAAGCCTTCTTTTCTCCAGGCTGACCAGTCCTCACCCTCTCAGCTTCTCCTCATCTGAAGGATGTTCCAGAACTTTACCTTTGTGGACCTGTGCTGAACTCTCTCCAGTAAGCCCACGTCTTTCTTGCCCTGGGGAGCCCACAACTGCACACAACACCGCAGATGTGGCCTCACCTCTGCCAAGCAGAGGGGAAGGATCCTGATCCACTGTCAACACTCTTCCTAAAGCAGTCTAGGACGCTCCTGGCCTTCTTTACCACAAGAATGCATTGCTGGCTCATGGTCAGTTTGTTGTCCACCACAATCCCAAGGTCTTCTCTGCAGAACTGCTTTCCAGCCAGTTGGCCCCCAGTCTGTACTGGTGCAGGGGCTCATCCCCAGATATGCCCCAGATGCAGGAGTTTGCATTTCCCTGTGGTGAACTTGTTGAAATTCCTCTCCGTCCAGCCTGTCAAGGTCCCTCTCAATGCCAGCATGACCCTCTGGCCCATCAGCCACTCCTACCAATTTTTTATCATCTACAAACTTCCCAAGGGGTGCACTCTGCCCCATCATCCAGGTCACAAAGATGCTGAACAGTGCTGGCTCCAGTACTGACCCCTGGGGTACTCCACTAGTGACTGGCCTGCAACTGGACCTTGTACCACTGATCAAAATCATCTGGGCCTGGCCATTCAGACAATTTTTAGTCCACCTCACTGCCCACTTATCTAAGCCATACCCTGTCAGCTTGTCTGTAAGGATCTTACGGGAGACCTTAACCTTACTAGCATCAAGGTAAACAACACTGACCACCCCACATGAACCAAGCTATTCACTTCATTGTAGAGGGCTATCATGTTGGTTAAGTATGGTTTCCCCTTTGTAAATCCACGATGACTACTCCTGATCACATTCTTGTCCTTCCCGTGTTTGGAAATGCTTTCCAGGGTTAGTTGCTCCACCACCTTCCCAACGATCAAGGAGAGGCTGACCAACCTGCAGTTCCCAGATGCTCCTTCTTGCCCTTCTTGAAGATAGGAGTGACATTTGCTTTCTTCCAGTCTTCACAAATCTCTCTCAAACACCATGACCCTTTAAAGACAATAGATGGTGGCCTTGCAATGGAGGCCACCTCCCTCCATGGTCATAGCTGCACCCCATCAGGCCCCATGGAGCTGTGCATGTTCAGCTTAAGTGTTGCCTAACCTGGTCCTCCTCCACCAAGGATAAGTCTTCCTCCAGACTCTCCCTCTGATCTCGGATGCCTGCGATTCCTGAAGGTTGATGTCACCAGTAAAGACTGAAGCAAAGGTGGTAACTCAGCCTCTTCTCCATCATAGTAATAAGCAGAGACTACATGTATCTTGACAGGGACACACTGAGGACTTGTATAGGACTCATGAGGCAATTCTTCATGTAATTACAGCAAATATTCTAAGAATTTTCATTAAGACCTGAAAAAGTTTTAATGCAGCCCAAAAAGGACTGTAGTCAGGAGCAAGAGGATGAATCTTACGAACTTAAAACATCCGGATAAAAAGACATTATTTAATAAGATTCCAAGGGAAGTAGTCCTTAAATCTTTCTACATTCAAAAAAATTGCAAAGGATACTAAAAAAATAATACTTTACAATACATTTCTGCATTGAGAGAAAGAGGGAATAAATTACTTGCAGGGTTTGTTCAGAAGCAACATAAAACAGAATTAGCATTTTCAGACTAGGCAAGGATTGCCATATTTTTTGTAGAGTCATCTAATTACAATTAGTTCTACTAGCGCACATAAAAGTCAAAGGCTTCATTTTGATTTTCAGATTTCCCTTCTTAATGATATAGGTTTGCAAGCATCATTTACACTTGCACTTGTAACTTGAGAGCTTGCAAACAGGTTTTCTGTGGGTGTAAGATTAAACAAAACTCTGTAAGGTCAGAGAGCTCTAGCACATTTACACTATTTGTGACAGTGGCTCCATAACATTTTCAGCAGTCTCAATACCAAAATTAGGATTCTCTTTGTAAAGTAGATACAGTAACGATACCCCAAAAGTAGTAATATATAATGAGATGTTAGCTTCTTGTAGGGCTTGTCATTGTATCAGAATTGACAAAACTGCACTAATTTGCATGCATCACTTGTCTTCTCTTCTTCCAGCATGAACACCTTCAAAATATTTTTTTTTTAATATTGCATTTACTACCAGCTGTGGCATGCACCTGATAGAAAAACATGCAAGCTTACTGCACCCACCCCTCACAAGCAGCTATTTAAATCCCAAATATAGCTTGTCCAGTAAGTTGTCCTTATTAAACTATTTTATATACAGACTAGCATATTAGCATGCTGCGAAAGGAGTAAGTCCCATATAGAAAACAGAAACCAATATAACAGAAAAGAAATAGAAAATTTCAGTTTGCTTCAACTTAAATCTTGAAACAAAACAAACAAAAACTCAAACATTTACTTCAAACCCACTGTAAAGACTGAAATCATAGTTATCCACACGCTTCTCCTTTAACGTCCAAATGCATTGTCATTTACAGATTAGCAACTTTAAGCTTAACTATAAGGTAGT